GGGACATTTGGCTGCCAAACTCAAAATCTCGATGGGATTTTATTGCTGTCGGAGAATTAAAGAAGTATTTGTTTATTTTCTGAACCCCTTTTGTTTCTGGATCGTAGTAACTTTTATATATATATATATATATATATATATATATATGTACACGCGACCTTTCGTTCTGAATTTCGTGGAAGTTGCAATCCTCTACCAATTCCTTAAAAGTGAGTCCTATTGAGGGAGTCGTTGGAAGACTGGACTGGGAGTCCTGGGTTCGAATCCTGACACAGTCATGGAAAACCAGTGGGTGACTTTGGGCAAGTCACGCTCTCTCAGCCTCAGAGGAAGGCAATGGCAAACTTTTCTCTGAATGAACCTTTCCAAGAGAACCTTGCCATAAATCGAAAGCTGCAGCCACACTGCAGAAATAACCCAGTTTGACATCACTTTAACTGTCATGGCGCAATGCTATGTAAATCTGGGAATTATAGTTTTGTGAGACGTTTACCCTTCTCTGTCAGGGAGGTCTTGTGCCAGAATAAACTACACTTCCCAGAATTCCATAGTCTTGCGCCGTGACAGTTAAAGCGGTGTCAAACCGGATTGTTTCTGCGGTGTGGATCTGGACTCTGCAAGAAAGCCAAATGTTTCGTCCATTAAAATGAACGCACTCGGGGAGGATCCGGAGTTTCGTCGCTTAAAGTCAATTGAAAATTTAAATCACCGGTTTTAAATTTTAAGTTGGTATATTTTAAAGAACGTCTTATATGCATGTATTTTAATGGTTTCATAATATTATATTTTAACTGAGAGTTGTATGTGTTTTCTTTTTTTTAAAATTGTGTTTTAATTTGTTGTGCCCAATCCTCGACCCTTGAGGAGAGGCGGGAAATAAATAAATTATTATTATTATTATTATTATTATTATTATTATTATTATTATTATTATTATTATTATTATTATTATTATTAAAGGCCTTAAAGCAGATGGGTAAGATTTGTGTTTGTCCTGAGCATAAAATCCCTTTTTCTAAGCCCAAAAGATAACAGATTTCCTGCAGGTGAGCTAGCGTGGTGTACTAATCCTTTGAGCCTTGGACTATGACTCTGGAGACCAGGGTTCGAATCCTGCCTCAGCCATGGAAACCCACTGAGCCAAGTCACACTCTCTCAGCCTCAGGGGAAGGCAATGGCAACCCACCTCTGAAGAAATCTTGTCAAGAAAACCCTATGATAAGGCACACAACAACAACAAACCATGGGAACATCTGAGATCCTGGGCTGGCCTTACTCCGTACTAGTCCCATTTGGCTTTCAATGGGAATTCCCTCTTACGTCATTGTTGCGTGTGACAATGTCTCCCTCTATGACGTCACCCAGAGGCTGGTTTGTGTCGCCTTGCGAAGCGTGGAAGGGGATGCCAGCGTTGTTCGTGATGTAAGGAATGGAGACGCACTTTTTCACTTTCTTCTCAAAAGGATCAGATGGCCTAACCTGAGAGGAGGACAAGGCACCCCAAAATGTAGGACCTACAAGAGAAAAGTGTAGGACATTACAGAACGAAAGCTCACAACACGCATACAAATGTAAAGCTCAAGCTTCTCGGTCATGCTCAGAATGGAGGACGTGTTGGAATGGAGGAAAGGGAGGACATGTCCTGGAAAAGGAGGATGCCGGGGTCACCCTGGGTCAGGTGGTTGCGTGCCTTCAAGTCGTTATGGTGACCCTGTTACAAGTATTCCTTGACAAGGTTTCTTCAGAGGGATTTTTTTTTTTTGGCCTTTACTTTCCTCTGAGGCTGAGACAGTGTGACTTGCTCGTTACTCAAAGGTTTCCCGGCGGAGATTCGAACTCTGGGCTCCCAGGGTCCAAGTCCTAGGCCCAAGCCATTATTATCCCTTGCTGGCTCTCAGGATGATAGGAAAGACAGGAAAATAACAGAGCCAAACACGATTTAAGTGTCACTAGAGGGGCGGGATACAATTATTATTATTATTATTATTATTATTATTATTATTATTATTAAAACGTAGAGACAGCGTGGTGTAGTGGTTGGTGCGTTGGACGACGACGACTCTGGAGACCAGGGTTCGAATCCTCGCTCTGTTATGGATGCCCTTGGGTGACCTTGGGCAAGTCACACTCTCTCAGCCTCAGGGGGAAGACACACACACACACACACACACCCTGAAGAAATCTTGCCAAGAAAACCCCATGATAGGTCCAAGTGGGGAAAAGACTTGAAGCCACACAATAACAACAACAGTAACAGAAAACATTTAGGGGCCAGACAGACATATAGGAGTGTATTTATGCACACATATTTATCCTTACCTATGTTGCGATTATGTGCCTTCAAGTCCTTTCTGACACATTTAGCAAATGCAAACAAAATAAAGTGATACCTTGATTGGCCAACCAAAATGCACAATAGACTTGTTGCAAGCTTTCGAAGCT